TAAAAGAGGAATTCACTAATTAGCAGAATTGAACACACTAGCTTGGTAAGATGATAAGTAAAGCTACATCAGCAGGTGAGAGAGCACCTCTCATGATAAAATTTAGCAATGTCTTTAAATATCTGTCTGTGACACCTATTTACAATAGAGACAGGTGAAGTGCTAATTAAGGTTATGTATCATCTTAACACTTTTCATGACATTACTCTACAAGACAAGGCTTTGTTCAACTACTTTCTTACAGTAGACTGGAAGGACTTTCCCATGGAAAACATTGTCAGAAACATCAAAAGTTAGAAGATCGATCACAACAAGAATATCTAGCATGTTTTTCCTTCACAATTTTTGGGAGATGAAAAAGTCTGTTTTTACATCGAGGAAAACTGACTGCTGTCTGAATGAATTTAAGATTTTTGTTTCTTTAAAGGTAAATCAATAATTTTCTGTAGATTTGTAATTCAAGTCATCAAAGGAAATTTACTCAAAAGATGTTTGAGGACAAATTCCACCAAATTACATAAAGAAGGTTAGCTCATGTAGTATACCTATAGGGTAAGATATAAAGTAAATTAGTCCATAGTGAACTTATCAGGTAAATTACAGAAAGTCTGTTAGTCAAAAGTGTACTTAGCAGGTAAATTACAGAAGGTCAGTTAGGCCAGATTTTTCATATTGGGTAAATTACAGAAAGTCTAACTATAGTGTGTTTATTTGGTAAATTACACAAAGGCAGTTTCTAAATAACAGTGTACTTAGTTAACTACTGAAATTCAGTTACTATTAAGTAAATTACTGAGATTCAGTTACTTGAAATCCATAGTGCATTTATAAGATAAATTACAAAATTTCAGTTTCTAGTAGCCCTTAGTGCACTTATTAGATAAATTACAGAAATTCAGTTTCTAGTAGCCCATAGTGTACTTATTAGATAAATTACAGAAATTCAGTTTCTAGTAGCCCATAGTGTACTTATTAGATAAATTACAGAAATTCAGTTTCTAGTAGCCCATAGTGTAATTATTAGATAAATTACAGAAATTCAGTTTCTAGTAGTCCTTAGTGTACTTATTAGATAAATTACAGAAATTCAGTTTCTAGTAGTCCTAAGTGTACTTATTAGATAAATTACAGAAATTCAGTTTCCATTAGCGATAGTGTACTTATTAGATAAATTACAGAAATTCAGTTTCCATTAGCTATAGTGTACTTATTAGATAAATTACAGAAATTCAGTTTCTTATTAGATAAATTACAGAAATTAGTCCTTAGTGTACTTATTAGATAAATTACAGAAATTCAGTTTCCATTAGCTATAGTGTACAGAAATTCTTATTAGTAATTATGATAAATTACAGAAATTCAGTTTCTAGTAGTCTATAGTGTACTTATTAGATAAATTACAGAAATTCAGTTTCTATTAGTCCTATAGTGTACTTATTAGATAAATTACAGAAATTCAGTTTCTAGTAGTCCTTAGTGTACTTATTAGATAAATTACAGAAATTCAGTTTCCAGTAGCTATAGTGTACTTATTAGATAAATTACCATTAGCTATAGTGTACTTATTAGATAAATTACAGAAATTCAGTTTCCATTAGCTATAGTGTAATTATTAGATAAATTACAGAAATTCAGTTTCTAGTAGTCCTTAGTGTACTTATTAGATAAATTACAGAAATTCAGTTTCTAGTAGTCCTAAGTGTACTTATTAGATAAATTACAGAAATTCAGTTTCCATTAGCTATAGTGTACTTATTAGATAAATTACAGAAATTCAGTTTCCATTAGCTATAGTGTACTTATTAGATAAATTACAGAAATTCAGTTTCTAGTAGTCCTTAGTGTACTTATTAGATAAATTACAGAAATTCAGTTTCCATTAGCTATAGTGTACTTATTAGATGAATTACAGAAATTCAGTTTCTAGTAGTCCTTAATGTACTTATTAGATAAATTACAGAAATTCAGTTTCCATTAGCTATAGTGTACTTATTAGATAAATTACAGAAATTCAGTTTCTAGTAGTCCTTAGTGTACTTATTAGATAAATTACAGAAATCCAGTTTCCATTAGCTATAGTGTACTTATTAGATGAATTACAGAAATTCAGTTTCTAGTAGTCCTTAGTGTACTTATTAGATAAATTACAGAAATTCAGTTTCCATTAGCTATAGTGTACTTATTAGATAAATTACAGAAATTCAGTTTCCATTAGCTATAGTGTACTTATTAGATAAATTACAGAAATTCAGTTTCCATTAGCTATAGTGTACTTAGGTAAACTACAGAAATTCAGTTTCTAGTAGTCCTTAGTGTACTTATTAGATAAACTACAGAAATTCAGTTTCCATTAGCTATAGTGTACTTATTAGGTAAACTACAGAAATTCAGTTAGTCCATGGTGTACTTACAAAAGGTAACTTATCATGGGACTATCATAACATGCTTGTTAATACAATATCTTGGGAATACATGTATCATACACACTGTTTAATATAAGTCAATCTGACAATGCACATAGCTGTAGACTAGTGATTCTGGTGACATAAGGAGGCAAACAATATTTACATATTAATTATATACATATAGATATTTCCTATTTACATTATTTACAGTATGTACAGATCACCATTTGTTATGTCCAGGACACTCAATAGAAAATACATGTGTATTACATGTAAAATACAACAACATATACATCAAAGACATTACGCTGTATAACTGGTTATCAAATAGGTGACTTCTCTCCATAACAGTCCTTAGGAACATCATTCTTCCTTCAGAAATCTCAGAGATTTCTATTTATAACCATGTACTGCTTTTCACAATTTGCTTCTTCGAAAAGCCACTTTAAAAAAATACCCAGCTAAACAGTCTTTGCACCTGATCACTTCATCTTGAACAGCCATTTTTTGGTAAACATTAGTACATAAATCCAAAATGTACAATATCTAAACTTGGAAAAAGTAGCCTGATTTCTTACTTTTATAGAAAAAAATGTAAGAAAGTTGGAGCAAAATACCAAAACATCAAAAATGGATAAATTTTTTTTAATAAGATTTTTCTTATTGAAATAATTTCTTCATTTATGAAATCTTACAGGTGTGGTGGTAACTATCAAACCAACAGTAGAAAAAGTTTTCATAAAGGTTAATTGTAAAATATACTTATTTTTCTAAAAGAGATGACTTTAAATTTCACTTGTATTCTCTATTCTTCTGGCTTTATTGGATGAAGAATTTTAAAATCATGAAATAATAATCATAAAATTCTTCTGTAAAAAGTGTAAGAAGTTACCAAAAGTAGACCTAAGAACACAAAAATGACACACAATGATAAAAAATGGCTGAAAATGTGTTGTCATGATGTTGGCTATTGAGTCAGCCCTGACAGGCCATGATACTGTACACAAGTTCTCTGTGGGGTTCTTCCGCCAGCACAAAACAAACGAATGCACACTCACCGTAAAGCAATTTGTAGAAGTTCGTTCTCCTGACAAATATCACCAAACACCAAAATTCTAATTTCACTTTGTAGAAGTTTGTTCTCCTGACAAAATCTAAGCACAAAAGCACAAACTTGGGGTTTGTTTAAAAAAACTAAAACTTGTAGAAGTCCTTCTTCTGACAAATAATCAAAACTTGTTTCCCCACACACAGCTGTAACATCCACATCAGTTGAGAAGTAGTGAAGCTGTGAGGAAACACGGAGTCCCTGTGACAGGACACCTGATGGAAAATGATCTGCAATTTGTAGAAGTCTTTCTCCTCACGAAATTGAAAGATCGGTATGGTATTTCTCGCATGAAAAATACCATATGTAACAAACATTTTGTAGAAGTCTTTCTTCTCACAAATAAATACAGTCATGCTAAGACCATCCTATTAGGAATAACCAAATATTGATCCTACTTCTTTTATATATTCAGGATATTGCTGAACATGTGGAATTTATTGCAGTTGTCCATACAATTAATTTGCAAAAGTAAAAATCAAATACAATGTAAATGCACAATATTTTAACTGAAATAAAACAAAGAAAAATACTCCCAGAATATTTCATAACTGCTTTTTCATTTTCAATACTGGTAAAAACCCTTAAGGAGGTCAAATTTTTCATAGGTATGTTTTTGTATTTCATAATGTAAGTAGATTTACAGCTATACTTATAATTAGTCCAAACAAACAACACCCTACAAACTTATCAACACCTGCCACCCTTTAAAACCTACATGGCTTGTCAATTCAGACTGGAGCCATTCCAAATAATAAATGGGTGAACATATTTTGTCAGCATTCTGCTAGCACCAAAGCTATTCTGATTCAAATATTGATCGAAGGTGTAAGATGTTATAGAACATTAAATATATATATTTATCTTGCCTATTCAAAGAACAACGAAAAGAAAAAAATAGCCTGACTGGTTCAATTAAAAGATATTGATTACATGAACAAAATATGATACAATGGTAAAAGAAAGAGGATATCTCTTTTTCTCAATGTTGTAATTCACTGCAGTACTACACTGCAATACTACCCTGCTCAGCATGCTCCATACAAATTTCTTAATAAAAACATTGAAGGATATATTGATGTTGATTGCTGACATGTATCTAACCTTCAATTTCTGGTAAAGTTATTGCAAGAATGAAAAGGACAATGAAAGTTTTTTTCTTTGAATCGGCAAATTAAAAATTTAGAGTTATAGATGTGTTCTTTTATAGAAATAATAAATGTAATTTAGATCTCAGCAGGATGATACTAATGTTATAGTAATGAAAAAGATTACCCAGAATTGTTTTTAGGTTTCTCTTTCAAGTAAAATTTCTCTCTATATCAAAATCTAGATGATTTTTCATTGCAAAAATGTGAAATGTATAATTCTTATTTTAGTAAGACATCTGTTCCCTTATTTACTAATAACTTTTTTTGACAGACATGATTTAAATAAGTACTTTTCAAATAACGGAAATAACACTGGCCAAATTTATTCTGGTAGACTAGAGATTCAAATTTTGCTAGTGAAAATATTACGACATAATTCTCTTTGTTTCATGCGGAAGATTGGTGCACAGATCAGATGTCAGGGGCTAAAACTACTAACTAGGCACATCCTCTGTGGGCTGGGTTAAGAAAGAGGTAAGGATGAAGCACTTGCCTAGGGATTGTGGGCAGGTTTGGGGATGTGAAGCGGATCTTCAGAGCTTACTGTTACAGCTTGAACAGTTAAACCTTTCACATTTCCATATTTGTCTTCGGCATCCTGTTTCTTTGAAAGTACATATTTAAATGATTCATACACTCCCCAAGAGATTGCTGTGGCAGGCATCTGAAAGACAACCCTTGCCTGCAGTCCTCTAAAGAAACCCAATACTCCCTGAAATTCATAAATTGTCCTAAATGCAGATGCCATACCATTGATATACGACACTTGTTTTCGGGCACAACATTCCTGCGTGTTCAGTAAGGTCTTACACACATCTAATGGCATGGTAACGGCTGCTGATGTAGCCCCTGCCAGGCCTCCAGAGATCACATGACTTACTGGGTTATACTCCCTATTATGGTTTAAAATATCTTGCATTTTCTCGTACACGATGAAGTGCACTACCTGAAATGGAAGATTCATTGTCAGCTGTGTGGTGTAACTCCTATAGAAAGCCCTAATACCCTCCTTTGTGTAAACATCTCCAGTGCAGTGAAGACATGATTTGTAGGGGCTTCCATATACTTGCATTCTTTGTTTTATCACTATTTACCAAGTAAAAACAATTAACCAGTGATCAAACAGAAGTACATCCAAACCAGGCAGTGTAGTATCAAGGTTAGCAATGTCAAGGTCATCCAGTAAGGTATCATCCAAGTCATCAAGGTCAGCAATGCCAAGGTCATAGGGTAAGGTATCATCGAAGTCATCAAGGTCAGCAACGCCAAGGTCATGGAGTAAGGCATCATCGAAGTCACCAAGGTCAGCAACACCAAGGTTATCGAGTGGTGCAGAATCAGCAGGCAGGAAAAAAACATACAAAAATCAAAATAAGTGATTTTCTAAACTTTAGTCATCTGTACATGCAACAAAATTCAACAGATTTACATAGGCAACTGGACTCAATATCAATATGTCCTTTTGAGGGTTATTTTGCCTGGTTGTTATATCATACATGCACAAGCTTTCAGACAAAATCGGTCAGATTTGCAGTAACAAACAACATAATCTTTATCTTAAACAATTTTTTTAAAGAAATTACATAAGAAACTTGAGTAAAATATATCTATGGTTATCCACCCACTTTCTGATAATTTCCATACAAACACTAAATAATTACCTTCAAGTACAGATAAGCTGTCAGGAAGATTAAATAATAAGTTTCAAAATTTTACAGTCCATTCAGGTAAATAAAACTCGTGTATACAAAATATAATGCTTCAGGTCTACCTGGTATATGTAAAATTTATAAGAAATAATCCACAATTACATGAATGCAAAAGAGCTGTAGATAAATATTAAGTATTATCATCAGTATTGAATAAAAGAACTGTAATATTTCAATAAATATCTATAACATATGATATAAGAATCCCTATGGACCCAAAATATTAGCAATAATTGGATGTAAAGACGTTTAAGAATTTGCTTAATTTTCAATCAGCCTTTGCATTTTATCTTTCTAGTGATACACAACTTAACAGAAGAACATTTGCATTGCTAGTTGAAAAGGCTCTGATAACTACTTACCTGTAAGCCTTGTCTGCATAAGTTGTTTTTCATCTGAGTACAGACCAAACAGGTAATTTTGATTCCAGAAACATTCTTCAAACTTATTCTACACAACTTTTTAATACCTTAAAGTTTCAATAACTACAAGCTTGACCTGCATTTATTTTTTTCCAAGGCTTTAAATTTCTGAATTCTACACATTTGACTTAAAACGTTGTGACCTTCCACAAAATATCACTGTTATGATTTCCATAATGTTTTGTGACCTTGAACATTATCACAGCCTTCATTGACCTTTGACTTTTGAACATACTGGTATTAAATATCACTTCTACGACTTCATTGTAATTTACCTTAATGTCTTTCATTCTGTAGTTATCCTGCATTTAGACCTGGAGCACATTACCTCTGACTCAAAGTGAGGGGGCGGGCTAATTACAAGACAACTGAATAGCATTTGTTCATAATGCTACTGAACTGCAATGGATATGATTGAGCTAATCATGACTTTTGTGTTTGAGTGTAATTCTGGATAGGTTAGTCATAATTTCATGTGCGACAGAGAAAGTTTTCCTTTTATAACTCTCACTGTCATTTCAATAGCAAAATAAAAGGCAGCAACTGCTGTGAGATCCTACCATACAACAGACACCACACTGACTACCGACCCAATAGGGAGGTACACAGCAATAAACAGTGAGATCCTACCATACAACAGACACCACACTGACTACCGACCCAATAGGGAGGTACACAGCAATAAACAGTGAGATCCTATCATACAACAGACACCACACTGACTACTGACCCAATAGGGAGGTACACAGCAATAAACAGTGAGATCCTATCATACAACAGACACCACACTGACTACCGACCCAATAGGGAGGTACACAGCAATAAACAGTGAGATCCTATCATACAACAGACACCACGCTGACTACCGACCCAATAGGGAGGTACACAGCAATAAACAGTGAGATCCTATCATACAACAGACACCACACTGACTACCGACCCAATAGGGAGGTACACAGCAATAAACAGTGAGATCCTACCATACAACAGACACCACACTGACTACTGACCCAATAGGGAGGTATACAGCAATAAACAGTGAGATCCTATCATACAACTGATAGCACACCGACTACCGACCCCATAGGGAGGTAGTTTGATCATTTTTCTTTTTCAAAACTGTCAAACTTGTGGTAATGAGGTTATTGCCAATGGGTGCTCACTTTGATGCCTTGTTCTGCCTGATGAAAGTGGCAAGATCTAAAGTTACATGAAGAAAATTTGAATATTCAATGCCCAGCATCTTCCTTCAAACATACTGTAGCACTTCTATGTAACAAACAGGAGTACAATCCATATTCCTTCTTAATGTCTCTCCTGACACTACCAAACCTTCAGCCTAAGCATGAAACTTCCATCGAAGTGATGAAGATACAGGTTCTGTTTGTTACGTCATTAAAGTGGGTTTTGGTGTCTCCTACTTGTTATCTAGCAATGAAGGGGATGTACATGGTCAGGAAAGCCCTTTGTCAGTACCGTTTGACTGGTCGGGGCTGCATGCTACCATATCCAGGTTATGACATTTCAGTGTGATGACACTATACAGCATGTATATCACCAGGGTGTTGGAACCTGTTACAGTTTAACGTGTCACTGGGATAATAATTAAGACATATCTAACTCAAAAAATAAAATCAACATGACATGGTCAGTCATTTAAGATCAGTTGACCACATGAAACAAGACATATCCTAAAAACACACTAACACAGGTCTACTGAATATCCTCTAACAATCTATTGTATACATAGAAAATAATTGGTATATCATAAATAGGTAGGAGAAAAATTATAAAAAGGCATTCTGTGACATAATACTTTAAACCCTACCGTCTATTGGTGTCATCACAGCATCATGTGCTAATGTGGCAACGCCACCTGCTACACCTGCAGATCAAATTAAAAACAGAGTCATCATATAAATTAAAATGCTTGCAAAGGAAGTAATTTTGTTTAAAATTCTGTATAAAAGAAAATATGTTGCCATAATCTTCCAGAGGTTGTGTATAGGAATAACTTATTTCATGCTCCATTTGAAAAAAAATTAAGGGTAATTGTGTCACCAAAGATAAACTTATTTCAAATTCCAATTAAAAATTTCCCTGTCGTAACTATTGTAACTTCATTTCAGTTAATTTTTCAGGATTATTTTAGGAGCTTTTCCCTGAAAATAATTTTCAAAGTATCTCTATGTCACATGACTGAGATGTACCAACAATAAATGTGACAGTTGACTAATACTTACCATGAGTAAAATGAGTTCCTTTTTGCCCATTGGCCAGTACTTTCTTAGTTTTTTCATAACACGTGAAGTAAAGAGCATGTGCTGGACCTGCCCCTCCTACAACAACCTGTATCCCTCGCACAGTGTTCCGCATACCCTCAAATTTAACAATCTTATGAAAGGCATCACGAATGCTGCGATAATCCGCCTTTGGATCAGGAACAAGGGATTGCATCCGTGTCTAAAATATTGGAAAATACATTTGATCGTTACAAGAATCATTTTCACTCTTCTTTATATACAATATATACAGAAACTCCTACAATCCAATATTCTTTTTTTTCGTATATATAGTGGCAGTTTATTATATAGATGAACAATGCACATGTCTGTGTTGGAAAACAAAACAAAATACTTTTAAAATCAATCCAAGGATACAGGGAAATTTTGATCACAACTAATAAAGTAATCTAGTTGAATTGATCATAAGTGTAAACATTTGTGGATTTTAGGCACACAATATCATTAAGTTTAGAGCTTGAAATATATGTGTGGCAGATTTGTTAGTAAATACTGAAATCACTTGAGGAATGAAATTCAATATTTTCTAACAACATATTGTCATACTATATCTTAATAAAATGAAATTGAAAAATCAAATCTATTATTTAAATACTGATTGAAATAACACTATACAATAATCAATTAGAGTAAATGAATTAAGTAAACACTTTTGATTATGTTCTTTCACAAAATATTACTGTTTTATTACTGGCTATTGAAATGTAATATAATATTAATTGATATCTTGTAAAACAATAATGAAAATAATTATCGCTGTTCTTTAATTTGCTGTTTAGGTAGGTTTAATGTACATTGTTGTATCTATATGTACCGATATTATTTCAGACACAAGATCACATGTTATCTGAACAAGCATGGCCTGATGTGAACACTTTGCGGTAGACTACTTGCGATCTGTTTATCGTGGCAGATTTTATTTCTCGTCACAACAAAGTTGTGTCAACATTTATTTGTTTATATACCTGATAACTTGTTCTTAATCTGTGCTGATACACAGATCATTTAAAAATGATACCTTTAGCCATGGGGAACTCTTTAGAAATCTTTTTCTAAGCTCTTCAACTGTACTTAACATACTTAACATCATAGGCATTTTTCCTTTGTCCTGTTCTATTTAAACTTGAAAAATTCTTAAGTTTATTGATTACGAATACACTTTATTTGGATTAGAAAGTATAGGGCATATAACTGCTGAACATCGTGGGCTAACAACTCTCAGGCTTTATATGACTACTGAACCTCACCAAGGTCAAATGTCTGAAAGGTCACCGACTTCAGGTAACACCTTGCCATTCTAACCGTTAATCCACAGTTACATTTGTCAATTTTAACACCTGTATTAAATACCATCGAAACTTGATTGGTGATCCATGTTTATTATGTTAAGCATGTGCTTGAATTTAACAAAAAGTTGTTGTATTTACCAAAGGTTTAGAGTTGTGTGCTGAGTTAAATATAAACAATATTTTACAGTGAATAAGACAAGAATAGAAAAGCTACAAACATGATCAGCATATATACACAGCTGTAACTGGACATAATAAATTCAACCTGTATGATGAAATTAATACTCCAAGTACAATACCTTAAATTAACATCAACAGACACATATATATAATATTGTAGAAGGCAGATAAACCACATTTATAAACTGCAGAAGTTCTTGCCCATCAATATATACAAAAAAGAAGACTTCTATGAACAAAACCGTTGAACATAGTGTTCCCATTGTATTTTGAAACTGAGGTAATAGTGTACCCCTAACAATGTTATCATATAGGAGAGCTCTTGGAAATCAGGAATGAGGATTTTGTATATTTATTGTCATTTAGAGGTAATGGGAAATAAACAACTGAAAACATTCAAAGTACAGATGTTCCTTCAAATTTAATTAACAACCCTTAAATCACATTTGTTTCAGATTAACAATATCTTCTCAGAGGGTTAAAGGGTAACCACAGTAAAAATATGAATTTTGTTATTGAATGTACATGTTTTTTACACTTCAGTTATGTTTCTGTGCTATCATGATATTCACAGTCCATTTCCAATTTCTAGCTTGACCACTTCCTCCATTTGGGAATCCCCTTTAAAATTTAGTGCCGATAATGTCACGTGGTAGTTTTAAAAATGAGACAGTTCATTTTATAAACATGAACACATGACTGCAGGCAGAAATGATAGTGACAGTATAGTGACACAATAAGTAAAATCCTGTTTTTCAGATTTTGTTATGGGTGTGACAAATGTTATTTGACAACTCAAAGTCAATTCAGTATTACGAATAAAGTGACATGTAATTGCCAACATTGTTGAGACTAATTCAGGCTGTTAGCCATTTTTGTTTTTAGGTGATGATGTTGTTATACAAAAATGTACATATCCAGATTGATGATCAACAGATAAGGTTTTCCTTTTATAATTGTTCATTAACCTTTTTTATGTGCCTATTTAAGCAATAATAACCAACTGTCATTGTTCATATGATGATATGCTTAATATACATATATATGCAATAAAAAAATCAGTAAAAAAAAAAATTTATTGTGACATCACTTTAATGGAAGTTCTTAGTCAACAAAATGATGTCTTTAATGTGCTTACTGCCAGAAATCCTGAAAATATGGGACATTTTCAATTACTAGTATGCTTCAAAAGACTATCAGGGCAGCTGAACAGACAGATTTTAAAAGCCACATTAATGACTTGCTCATTGACATTTGGTTTTCGTAACTTACCTGTTTTACTTCAGACTTTAGTTCATCCTTTTCTAGCAAAAAAACTACCATTTTTTTCAAATCTACTTCAATTAGTTTAAAATGCTAAAATCATGAAAATATATTGTTCTGGGATCATCTAGATTTCATCTTCTAATTTGGTGAAAAATGTATGCGAGATCAACCATGAAATTGGCTTGGGAAGTAATCTCATGTCTTTGGGGACATTATAGAAGGGATCCACGTTACCAAGTTCTACTTGTTATCTCCATAACAGAGAGAAAAACTTTATAAGCATTGAACAAGGATATTTTTCTTTCTTCAGACATCAATGGTCATCTCCATAATATGGTAAGTTTGCCTGTAAAATGCTGCCAGTTAATGATAATTAATCCTATAATAAAACTGTCCAACATTTACATATTTATATTCCATATGCATGTTGCTGCACATTTAAATGAAAATTCAGTAATGTATAAAGTTTCAGTAATGGAACATTAAGTGGATATATAACTGAGAAATCGCTCAATGTATCTCAAATGATCCGATTCCTGGCTGTGATAATTCATTAATCAATTATTGGCACATTAATATATTTTTTTTGTGTTTAAGCAAATCTGAATTTACTATTATGCATTATTAAGATCGCTGGTACATCCATTCTTGTATATATTCTAGATAAGTGAAAAATTTTAGATTAAAGCTACAGAAAATCAGTTGAATACGATGGACGATACAGATTCTATTCAAATGAATATTCAACACAGACAGCCAATCATATTATTGTATTGCTGCATTGAAATCCTATTATATCTGATAATCAATTATAATATAATGGTTTTGAAACAAATTTCCCATCATTACGGAGTCTCTGAGGAGAAATCCTCTGCATAAAGCAGCCATTTTAACTGAATATTGTTGCTCTTCTATGACAGCAGTAATGACACGTTAATTGCTGCGCAAATGTAAATGTAAAAAAAAGAAGGGATTTGACATTTCTGAGTTACTTCCCTTATTCTGATTTCCAATGCATGAGGAAGCACAACCTATTCTGTGTCAGTATGTCGGGTTGGGAGGAATGGCACTATGAATATGTCTGCAACATTTCACTGAAATGCCATCATCAGATGGAAACAGATTTGGCACCAAATGACCGACAAATGTTGGAATGGCATTAAACACCTATCAATCAAAATATACACATTGATGGTCAAATGTAAGGGAGATAACTCTTGCTTATGAAGTAATAACATTTTCACGGTATGAGGAAATTTAGTGCGAATCATGCATCAATGTTACAATGTTGTGTATCATAATACCAACATATATTTATAATGATGATAAGAGTTTAGACAATCAATGTTGATTGGCGTAATTCGGACACTGCTGGTAAAAGCGCCTCAATGACTCAGCTCAACTCTTACCACATGTGCGACGTGGACACATTTTTTGATAACTAATGGGTAAAAACGATTCTTAAAATCAAAATCGCCGAAAAAATGCAATTGTGTAACTTTTCCGCACCTTTACACAATCGACAGGATACATGACACAGTGTTCCATAATGCCGGCAGCAGCCCCCGCCAGCATGTGGGTCGAGGCTGTACTTGTAGGGGGCAAACATTCATATGGGTCGTCTTCGTCCATTACACACTAAAACGCCCGTTTCATTACATTTACACAGAAAAACAGTCTTGTAATAGTCCTCACATCCGATGGACTTCCTTCGTTAAGACATCTTAGGTGTATATAGTCCGTCGTCCTATTTTATAACTTTCCTTGCACATGGCTCAGTTCACAACGTTTCAGGTGGAAAGAGAGTGTACAAATAAACTCAACAACCGGACCAAATAATACGGACCTTATGCAATAAATTGAATTACCTCCCCTCTATCATTTGACGTAAGACTGAACACTTTAACCAGACAAATAAATAAATTAATTTTATATATCAATTAACACATAAATTAATAAAGCAAGGTTTTATTAATAAGTAGATACTTTAGAAATATAATATTCAACCATGTAACTGTGTCACGTATTGCGACCTTGTCATAAATATCGTGAGACGCGAGAGTTTTCGCTTATATAGACATATAAATAGACGCTTACATTCGTGCCGATGTGGTTTGGATTTGATTAAATTCGTCGCATAATTTGACAGCTCTCTCACTTAAACGCTCAAGATAAATCAAACTATTCAATACAAACATCATCTATTAAAAAAAGAGAAATATAAACTTATATTAGTCACACATATTGTTAGCCTGTTGGAGAGCCTGAGGGGTTACTACTCTGTGGTCTGCGTGTGTGTGTCGGGGGGCGGGATTCGTTATATAAAATCCACGATACATGTTCTTACTACTAGAATATCTTCACACGTGTATTGTAGTGTAAAAGTATATGTCATCAACATCATCAGAATAATAATAAATGGTATCTGCCAGAACAGTGAAAGAAAATTAGTTTGGTCTCGGATTTCCAAGACTGGCTCATAAAAGACCAAGTTTGGACATTGTCATTTTCTACGTGACAAACCTATATATAAAATGTATATAAATATCCAAGTACAGGTATTTGTATACGATACTTCATATGTTTTATTGATTGACTGCTCAAGGGCCATTTAATGAAGTCATCGAAAGATTTTGCCGTGATTAGTAGTTATCAACGGAATGACGTCGTAGGATGTAAACAAAATTCCACTTTACCTGTATTAATAACGTCACGGTTGATGTACTGGGGAATACAAATTGTCTAATGGAGGCGGATATAGAATTCGTAATTTCCACTAGCGTTACACGAAAAAGTCATTTTTCAGATATTAAACACCCAATTTCAGTTAATGTCATTTTGATAAAGCCAGATTATTATCATAAAGCAATAATATGTTACTCTTATTGACGACTTTATAATTGTAAAAACGTGACACATGAAGTGCCACATTTATTTTGAACTTTCATGTCTAGGATGTGTGACGTCAATTCCACTCATTGATGTGTGGGTGATGGTCGACGCATAGATATCTAACCTAGATGCCGCACGGTCTATCTGCACTGTTGACGCAACGTTTTGGAGCGCCTCCATCTTGGGAAGGTATTGCCGCTAGCGCTAAAACCATAGCTACACAATGGGCCTCATGCTAGAAATCCCACTAAAAAAAGGCGTAGCTCGGTCACTAGCCCACGTATCAACACAAATAATACTTCATTTTAAAGATGAGAAAAGTACTATGCTCATCAAAATTTTTTAAAAAATAACGGAAGTATTTAAAATGTAAAAAATATTTATATATATTTATATACTCCTCATTTATTTTGCATAGGATAATTTTAACAATAAACTGACATATAATAACCCACCACACTGTCACACTCTCACTCCATCACAGTCACACTCTCACTCCACCACAGTCACACTCTCACTCTACCACAGTCACATTCTCACTCCACCACAGTCACGCTCTCACTCCACCACAGTCACACTCTCACTCCATCACAGTCACATTCTCACTCCACCACAGTCACACTCTCACTCCATCACAGTCACATTCTCACTCCACCACAGTCACGCTCTCACTCCATCACAATCACATTCTCACTCCACCAGTCACACTCTCACTCTATCACAGTCACACTCTCACTCCATCACAGTCACATTCTCATTACATCACAGTCACACTCTCATTCCATCTCAGTTGAACTCTCACTCCATCAGTCACAATCTTATTCTCTTATTCTCAATACGTCACAGTTACACTATCACTCCATCACAGTCACACTCTCACTCTATCACAGTTACACTCTTACTCCATCACAGTCACACTCTCACTCCATCACAGTCACACTCTCACTCAATCACAATCACATTCTCACTACATCACAGTCACACAGTCACACTCTCACTCCATCACAATCACACTCTCACTACATCACAGTCACACTCTCATTCCATCACAGTTGCACTCTCACTCCATCACAGTTGAACTCTCACTCCATCACATTCACACTCTCACTCTATCACAGTCACACTCTCACTCCATCACAGTCACACTCTCACTCCATCACAGTCACACTCTCACTCCATCACAGTCACATTCTCACTCCATCACAGTCACATTCTCACTCCACCACAGTCACATTCTCACTCCACCACAGTCACATTCTCACTCCACCACAGTCACACTCTCACTCCATCACAGTCACATTCTCACTCCACCACAGTCACACTCTCACTCCATCACAGTCACATTCTCACTCCACCACAGTCACACTCTCACTCCATCATAGTCACATTCTCACTCCACCACAGTCACACTCTCACTCCATCACAGTCACATTCTCACTCCACCACAGTCACACTCTCACTCCATCACAGTCACATTCTCATTCCACCAGTCACACTCTCACTCTATCACAGTCACACTCTCACTCCATCAGAGTCACATTCTCATTACATCACAGTCACAATCTCATTCCATCACAGTTGAACTCTCACTCCATCACAGTCACAATCTTATTCTCTCATTCTCAATACGTCAGAGTTACACTATCACTCTATCACAGTCACACTCTCACTCCATCACAGTCACACTCTCACTCAATCACAATCACATTCTCACTACATCACAGTCACACTCTCACTCCATCACAGTCACACTCTCATTCCATCACAGTCACACTCTCATTCCATCACAGTCACACTCTCATTCCATCATAGTTGCACTCTCACTCCATCACAGTCACATTCTTATTCTCTCACAGTCACACTCTCACTACATCACAATCACACTCTCACTCCATCACAGTCACACTCTCACTCCATCACAGTAACATTCTCACTCCATCACAGTCACACTCTCACTATATCGCAGTCACACTCTCACTCTGTCACAATCACATTATCACTCCATCACAGTCACACTCTCACTCCACCACAGTCACACTCTCACTCTATCACAGTCACACTCTCACTCCATCACAGTCACATTATCACTCCACCACAGTCACATTCTCACTCCACCACAGTCACACTCTCACTCCACCACTGTCGCACTCTCACTCCATCACAGTCACATTCTTACTCCACCACAGTCACACTCTCACTCCATCACAGTCACACTCTCACTCCACCACCGTCACACTCTCACTCCATCACAGTCACACTCTCACTCCACCACAGTCACATTATCACTACATCGCAGTCACATTTTCACTCCATCTCAGTCACACTCATTACATTACAGTCACAATTTCATTCCATCACACTCACACTCTCATCCATTACAGTCAAACTCTCACCACATTAAAGTCACACTCTCACACTACACAGTCACACTCTCACTACGTCATAGTCACACTCATATTACATTGCAGTCAAAATTTCACTCCATTACAGTCACACTATCATAACATCACAGTCACACTCTCACCATATCAAAGTCACGCTCTCACACTACACAGTCACACTCTCATTACGTCACAGCCACACTCTCACTCCATCACACTCGCACTCTCACTCCATCACAGTCAAATTCTCACTCCACCATAGTCACACTCTCACTCCACCACAGTCACGCTCTCACTCCATCACAGTCACATTCTCACTACATCACAGTCACACTCTCACACCATCACAGTCACACTCTCATCACGTCACAGTCACAATCTCATTACGTCACAGTCACACTCTCACACCATCACAGTCACACTCTCATTACGTCACAATCACACTCTCATTATGTCACAGTCACACTCTCATTACGTCACAGTCACACTTTCATTACGTCACAGTCACACTCTCATTACGTCACAAAAACACTCTCGAGGCGTTCGTCGGAGGTATTCAGCCGCAGTCGATTCTACAGTCTGATTTCTATGATTCTAATACTCGTCTTTGTTTGTTACTAATCATGTTATTGTTTTAGGTTTATCGATCGTTTTAGTGTTAAGAGTCAATCGCTTCTGTAACCTGATACACCCTGTTAAGATGTGGTATATATGTAGATTCCAAAACGTCAATAAAACCGTATACGATGGATATTAACCATTCATGTTATTGTTTTAAAGTATTACTGAAACAAAATGCTCAAATGCTCATGGAAAGAAGGAAAGAAAGAAAGAAAGTTGCATACAAGATACTTTAAAAATTGGTTGATATGTTTTATTTACAAAACGTGATGTTTGATCTTATCACCAGGGTCTTGATGATTTGTATGTTTTTCAGAATTAAGTGTGATGTGTGTACCGTCATCAAACCAGTTGTTTGTTAACATTAAAGGAAAAAAGAACTTAGTAAAGTGTTGTGTTGAAACATTACATTGTAGTCCATGCTCAAGTAAGATGGAAGGCTTTAGTATCGAACCAAATGTATTCATTTCTCTTTGATGAGATGGAAACTAGCCTGTTTGTTGAGGAATTCAACAAAGCCTTTCCTGTAGTTGACAAGACTTCTAAAGTAGTCCTTATTATATTTTGAGATATGCTGATATGAACTGTCCACTTAATCATCTAAATGTAGTTAGGTAATATAGTTTCCTCGCCAGTATTGTGTTCTACATAACTGTGATAATGTGTTTTAATTAAATCTATAGTCATGAAAAATGTAATGCTGTTTTATATCGCATCCTCTAGCTCCAGGGAGTTACGCTCAATTAC